TTTAACTAAACACTTGTAGTCTAAGCTGATTTGACATTGCAAGCGGATTGTCCGATATACATAAGATTTTTAAAGAATGTATATACTATAGTAAAGAATGTATAATACTATAATAATTTTATTGCTTCAAATAATAGTTGCTTACGTAACAAGTGCAGGGAATCGTCCCGCACGAGTTGCGTACAAGTTTTTTCGCAATAAGTGTGCGGAAAACACCTATTTTCCGCACACTATTGCGAAAAATGCAATTCAACAACGGTCTCTGTTTTACCCTCGGTTTTACCTACAGTGAACTTTGGCTCGTGAGACATGAGGGGAATTTTTGTTAGGCGCCCGATGATTTTTACTGGACATGACGGTAAAAATTGTTAAGGTTAGGTCAAAAGTCCGGAGTGACGACCTAGTCCCTCGCCTAGTCCCACGTTTACCATTCCTCACATAAATTTTTAGGGGCATTTACAATAAAATTTATAAAAAATTTCTCTCAGTGTGCTCTTTTGTTTCGTTTGACGTGTGAAACCTCGTGTGAAACAACGCATCGCATTGATAAATTTTTTTCAATTTATTGGTTACTTATTTTTAAATCGAAAAACTAGTCGATAATATTAAAAAATATACCACTATCAAAAAATTCGAGTCAGGCAGCGTAAAATTATATTGTTTATACGAAACCACATTGGCCAAGATATTTGCATTCTTTCGTTACATCAATTCTCTATTGAAAAAATAGCAAGTTTCAAAATTTTCCACTTCTCTAAAGAATAAAAAAAAAAACAATAGCAACGAATAAAAATTTCATCAGTAAAATTTTACTCCGGAAAATCCATATAATAATTGCGCCCACATTTTCTTGTGTACAGGTGTGCATGTGGCTCTTGCGTAAGCGTGACATAAACTCGTACAGCAGAGACCTTGCGGAGCATAAAATAGTTGACCTAGAGTTCTCTTAAGGTATAAAGTTAACAAACAAATGGCCGATAAAAAATTTTAAGAGTCTATGAATCGCGTCTCTCATTTTTACATCCCATATACCTGCCCAGGCAGGCTACGGTAAATATTCCTCTAATTATATAATTGATTGATCCGATAGGAGAAAAATGAAAATAGTATTATCGCTGAATCGCTATTGTGGTTATTGTCGAGCCATGAATAATGTATGAGACCACTCGAGAATGAGACGCGTGCTGTGCTCGTGAAAAAAACCCGAGCATAATTAAATATCGATTTTTGACGTCGCGAGGAAGTACACACACGTGATCCATTCGCAGATGAAGAAGTAACGAGCCCTGGTACGGCAGCAACAGAAAAGGAGGGTGACATTTCCTTTTCACTCGTAGATAATATACACCCACCCTCTAATTAATTCGAATCCATTATCAAATTACAAAGGACAAGGCTTTCCGTTTTCCATGGGTGTGTTTACGCCAGTGGCACACATTACTCCCAGACTCAACTCTTGCGCAACAAAAGTTAGACCGTGACCGTACGCATATATATATAAATACATACATGTGCTTTGAGATTTATGTTCGTCCTCAGAAACAGCAGAAATCGTATACTCCTCCAGTCCTCAAAGCATGTACGTGTATATACCTATGAATCTCTCTCTCTCTCTCTCTCTCTATGCTCTCTAAATTATTTGGAATGTTTGCATTTTCAGTTGTATGCGCTCCTTACCATGAAAAGAGTTCAATTATACATTTAACATTGAACAGTCAAACCCTAGTGGAAGCTCTCGAGACACGCATTTTTTGCGTCAAATTTGCCGAGGATTTGCGGATATATTTTCGTTTGAAAAAAAAACCGTCTCCATTTCTTTGTATTTTCGTGTACGTATACAAATACAGAGCTCCGTCGTTCGCTCTTCTTCTGTTGGGCGCGAGCGTTAGCACATCCATCCAATACTCGTGGCAACGGACAGTACCAACGGTAGTCGATGGTGGTGGAAGGGAATGTATTGTCATTATCGTCGAACACACGCATAGCCACATCTGGCCATCCTTTTCGTTGATTTGTGCACCTATGAGAAGCGTTCGCGAATGCAGCGTGATTATACGAGCAACTGACAGAGAGGGGTGTAGTTGTTACTCGTACGGCA